GCTTTTGTAAATGAACGTGATGCTTATGCTATCGGGAGTTGGAGTCCGTTATGGTTTTAAGTTAATACCGCTCCACATGCTTGTTTACTTCCATCCGTTATTATACAAAATTCTTTAAGAAAATCAGGATATTGTAATAAAGTAGGTTTTATAAGTTTATGTTTTAAACATTGGAATGAATTTTGGCATTCGGAGGACCATTTAAACGGAACTTTCTTTTTACATAATCTAGTTAAGTGCCGTGAATAGGTTAGGTTAGGTTAGGTAGGAGTTATAACACGTGGTCTCTGCTCAGATCATTTTCCCTAGCTCATGGGTTATTTGCTTTCGCGAAGTATTTGGTTCTTCTTAGGAAACATACGAGTTTTTGAATGCTTACGCCCTGAATGGCCGCAAGGTTCGGAAGTGTGTAGCTACCTAGGGTTTGCATGCGCTTTACGTTATGCGCTGGGCAGAAGCATAGGAGGTGTTCGATGCTCTCCTCTTTGTCTATCTAATTGCAGCTGCGGCAGAAGTCGTGGTTACTTTTTTTTTTTTTTTTTTTTTTTTTTTTTATTAAATAAGCTTAAATATATACAAGAATATAAGTGGTAGAAGAAGAGAAGAGGTAGAAAAAGTTCCGATCCCGCGGGACTGCCGCAAAGCTATACTTCGCGGGACGGATGGCGGTCAGGTTGCCGCTCGTCCTTATAACTCCATGCGTCGACTCCGTTCTCGACGCCTAAGATCCTTCAGGATGCCAGCGGCCATGTTGGCTATCGCGTCCCACTTGCTTTGATCTTCCAGCATGCAGCTGATCACGTTGTCCGCTGTCAGGTTACATACGGTTGTCGTTTCAGCTTCGGCTCGGTTCCTATCGTATAGGGGGCAGATGAATAGCGCGTGCTCCGCGTCTTCGATGCTTCCTGTGCCGCAGTGGTCGCAGTAGGGGTTTGGCTCATGCTTAAACCTATGCAGGTATTCCTTAAAGCATCCGTGCCCGGAGATCATCTGCGTGAGGTAGAAGTCTACCTGTCCGTGTCGTCTCTGCAGCCAGGGGGTTAGATTTGGAATTAGCCTGTGCGTCCACCGCCCTGTGGTCGCATTGTTCCACCTCATTTGCCATGCCTCGATCGTGTTACCGCGTTGGGTCCTGCTTCCTCTGCTCCCAGTTCTTCGTTCTGCCGCCAGCAGGTCTATCGGTATAGTACCGGCTACCACTAGCGCGGCTTCCTCAGATACCGTGCAGAAGCTGCTTGTGATGCGCAGTGCGCAGCGTCTGTAGACAGCTTTGCACTGGCGGCTGTATGATGCGGTCTTCATAGCCTCGGCCCATATGGGCGCGGCGTACATTATGATAGATGTCACCACTGTCGCTATAATCCTTCTGCTGTGCTGCTTTGGTCCTCGAGTATTGGCCATCATCCTTGAGATGGCTGCAGTCGTTCTGGATGCTTTGGCTGCGGCATACGATAGGTGCGTCTTAAACGATAACCTGTGGTCGATCAGTACTCCAAGATACTTGATTGAGGCGCTTGTTTCTATTAGAGTTGATCCGACTCGTATTATGGCCTTCTCCACAGTCTTCCTGCTGCTTATGAGCACTGCCTCCGTTTTGTGCTCGGCGACTGCTAACCCGTTGTCTGTGAGCCAGCACATAAGGGTGTCTATCGAGAGGCTGCATCTATCCGTGATCTCATCGAGGGTTTTCGCTACCGTTACCAGCGCTATGTCGTCCGCAAATCCCACAACTGTGCATCCTTCGGGTAGTACCTGCCTTAGGATCCCGTCGTACATGACGTTCCACAGTATCGGGCCCAGGACTGAGCCTTGAGGTACTCCTCCTGTCACCAGGTACTCGTGCTCTCCGGCATCAGAGGAATATGTGAGCACTCTGTCCTTGAAGTAGTCCGCTACGAGCTCGATCAGGTAGTTCGAGATTCCCATGCGCTGAAGTGCCTGCAGGACAAGGTTCCAGTTGGCAGAGTTGAAGGCATTCTTGACGTCCAGGGTGCAGACGAGGCAGTACTCTTTTGAGCCACCTAGCCACCTTTCTCCTTCGATTGCGTTAGCAGCCAGTTGGGTGACCGTTTGGATCGCGTCAATAGTGCTTCTTTTTCTCCGGAAGCCAAACTGGTGGTCCGATAACGCTCTGAGTTGATCGAGTTCTTTTTCGAGGTGGGTGCAGATTATGCGCTTGAATATTTTCCCCGTTGTATTCAGCATACATAGGGGTCTGTACGAGGATGCGTCGTCGTTCAACTTGCCCGGTTTTGGGATAAGCACCAACCTTTGTCGCTTCCAACCTATGGGGAAGGTTCGTTGGGTGAGACACATGTTGTACATCTTCGTGAATATACCAGGGAAGTTTGCCACCAATGTGTGCAGTGCAGCATTGGGAATGCCGTCGGGGCCAGGGGCTTTTTCGACTTTGGTTTTCGTTAGCGCAGCCAGGACTTCGGCTTCGCTGGTGAGAACAGTATCGCCTTCCCCGGTAGCTTGCCAGGTAAGGGGCGGCTGGGTGGGGAACAGGGTGGACACTATTTGGCCAAGCTGTACGTGGCCGGTAGGGGTCGGCTGTCTGTTGAGCTTACCCATGACCATCCTGTATGCTGACCCGAATGGCTCTGCATCCGCCGCTTCGCACAGCTCTTGGAAGCATTTGGCCTTGCTAGCTTTAATCGCGTTCTTCAGCACCTTTCTCTTAGCTCTGTAGGTTGTTTCCCTTAGCTCCTGGCTTCCGCGTCCTCTGCTTCTCTGACACCTGCGCTGGGCCGCTAGGCAGTCTCTCCTCGCGCTTCCTATTTCGTCATTCCACCATGGTACTGGTCTTCGCCCGTTACCACCTTTCGTGGCCTTCTCCATAGATGCGTCGCACGCCTCCTTCACTCTCTCGGCTATGTTCCTCGCGCATGTGTTAGCGTCTCCTGTAACGCAGACGCCTTCCATGTGTGCTAGGAGGGACACTGTGTTCAGGGTATGCGCTTTGTATGTCGTTTGGCGGCTGCTTGGGGCGGTCAGTCTGGGGCTTGCCTGGGTGATGATCAGGGCGTGGTCGCTGTGGGTGTATATGTCTGACACCCTCCATACACAGTTGCGTGCCAGTTCAGGGCTAGCGAAGGTCAGGTCGATGATTGACTCCCGACCTGACTTCCTGAAGGTTGGTCTATTACCTTCATTGAGTAGGCATACGTTTAACGAAGCCACTGCCTCAAGGAGGATGGTTCCCCGCTGCGTCGTACTAGCGCTGCCCCATGTTGTGGACCATGCGTTGAAATCACCTGCGACGAGGATAGGGGACCTACCGCGTGCGTCATCAGCGATCTCCTGCATTATTGTTCTGAATTCGCTAATTTGTGCGCTCGGGGCTATGTAGCAGCTGTAGAATGTGATGCCTTTGATCTTCGCTCTGGTGTATCCCGTCCTGGAAGCCCTTTGCGATAGGTGTCCAGGGGGCTGCCCGCAGCTCCATATTGCTGCTCTGCCGTCCGAACTGCGTTGCCATACGCCTTCGTGCTTGTCCTTGTAGGGCTCGCTGAGTATTGCCACCTCAGCCTGCTGCTCGATGACCGTCTGTGCTAGCAAGTCCTGCGCCGCTCTGCAGTGGTTAAGGTTCAGCTGTAGGACCTTAACCATTCAATTTATCGTGCATGGCTCTCCGGTATTCAGGGCACGCACTGCTGAGGGTCGAGTGTTCGGCCTCTCCTCCAGATTTTCCGCTTCTTGTGCAGATTATGCATTTTGGTTTGCCCTGGGTACAAGTTTTATACTTGTGGCCATCCTTGCCACATCTGAAGCAGGATTGCTGCGTGTTTTTGGCTGTTGCCTCTGACGCTGGACATCTGGCTGACATGTGGCCTAATCCCATGCATTTGTAGCATCGCCTAGGCTCCACTTTCTGTCTTATGCGGCAGACTACCCATCCAACCCTGATTTTCCCCTTGTCGAGGATCCGCTGCGCATGCTCAGGTCTGAGGTGGACCGTCGCCGTTTGGGTTCCGCCATACGCCTTCCACATCCTAAGTGCAGCGCCCGCCGGGATGTCGCACTCCTCCTCAGCGTAGACTGCCTGTAGAACCTCCTCGCAGGTGGTCATTAGGTCTAGGTCGCGGATTTCCACTTGCACCGTGTCTTCCAGCATAGCCACTTCGGCTTTGCCGCTGAAGGCCGACTTGATGGCAGTATGCAGTTTCTGCGTGGCTGGGTCTGAGGGTTTCTGCATCTTGAGTAGCAGACTCCCATTGGCTGTCCTGCGTATGCCTTGCACCCCTTCCTTGAGCCCCTGAAGGGTAGGCTCGGTTTTGACCAGCTTGAGCATGTCTGCGTACGTTCCTTCGCTGCATTTTATTAGGATAGCGTCAGAGCGCTGATTCCTGCGCTTCTCGGTGCGGCTCACGTGGTCTTTGCCTTCCCCAATACTCGCTGCAGTCTCGTGGGGCTTTTTGGTTTTACGTATCACCTGCTGCCAGGGCGGGTTTCTTGGCGGGTCCCTGCCTGGGTTCCCCGCGCCAGTATGCGTTCGCTCTATGCCTTCTTGTCGTGGGGCAACGAGCGATGGTGTTGTCTGCTGGGTTGCGCTGGCGGTCTGACCCCTGGCTCGGGGTTCAATCAGCGTCGCACTGATCGCTTTGCAGCTTCTTCATTGCATGCAATGAGTCGATCGTGGCCTGTGTGACATGGCGGACTACCTTCTTGTTGTTGCTTTTTGTGTCCGTGAACTTCGCGATCATCTCATCGAGCATCTTGCCCAGCTCATCGGTGAGAGCTGCGGCGCTTTTCTGCACCCGCTGCCTCTTGTGGGCTCCATCGCTCGCCTCTTCAGGGCTGGTTGGTTCCCGACTTCTCTTCGGGGTGGTTTGTTCATCCTCGTTACTGCCGAAGTTGAACACAGGCCCGGTCACTTTGGGAGGCGCTGACACTGGGTGGGCATCGGGAGCCTGCTCCATCCCCGTTGGCGACTGCTGCACCTTCTGTTTCATCATCTGAAACTTTTTTAGCAGCTCTTCTTCTGCCCTGGCAACTGCAAGAGCCTGGGTCTCGTCATGTCCGGACGATTTCTCCCTATCCATCGCCTGCACTAGCCGGAGGTCCCTCGGTGAGCCGGGATTTCCCCCGGTTACTGCCTGATGGGAGCTATACCGCTCCGACTCGGTCCCCAGAGCCCCGTTTGCGCTGGCGCCGCTATCGCGGTGGGGTTGGAAGTTGGCCGGTAACTTGGCTTTTTGCGCATCCACCCCTATAGGCAGTGGCGAAGGTGGTTTTATTTTATTTGAAATTCCCGGGCAACCGACTTCGTAGGAGCTCGCCGCTTAGCAGCTGTATAGCTCAGCGGGGAAGGCTCGCTGTTAAGCTCGCTGTTAAGCTCGCTGTTAAGCCCGCTGTTAAGCTCGCTGTTAAGCTCGCTGTTAGAGACGGCGCTGTCCAGCACTGCGATCAGCTGATCGATGTTGTTTGTTTGTGCCGGAAAAACCGCGCGTGTGCGGCTTGTGGAAGCTGTGAGCAGAACCAAGTATATGTGGCGCTCTGGAGTGGAGTGTTGCTGTGTGGGTGCGGGAGAGTGAGGATCCCCCCCTTCTGTCCACCAAGAATGGCTACCCTTTGCAACCGTAGCAGTGTGGTTTGTTGGCTGGGTAGAACCTTCCTGTCGCTTCTGTGGTACGTACCTGCAACCTGAGGTGTCCCGCACTAATCAAACACACTTTTAGGTATTAAACCCGATTTGCAACGACCAAAAACTCGATATATTGGCGACCGATGTTCAGGTCAACTTCCGTGTCGTATATACCGTCGTGGTTACTGAGTCCCATCCTGTGCGCATGAGTCCCTATAAGACAGTGGCCCGTGAGGGCATTTAGGAGAGTGGAGATGTCCTCCCTGCTACATTGTAGGAGAGTTTTTGTTCTTTTCGAGTTGTAGTTTGGCCATGTGAGTCTAGAATTGTGGCAAGTTGAGATTGAGTTCCAACGGTTGTTGGAAAGTGTGTACAGTCTCTGCCCGAGATGGAGCTTGCAGGTAGCCATGGGCATACCCACCGTGTCCTTGTCGCGAAGGATGTCGGCGGTTGTCTCTTGTCTTGCTAGCTCGTCTGCTATGCAGTTGCCCTCAATATTACGGTCTCCAGGCACCCAGATGAGTTTGTTTCTCAGATGAGTGGCCATCTCGTTAAGAGATTTGCGGCATTCAGAGATTGTTTTTGAGTTAGTTGTGTAGAAGTCGAGGGCCCTGAGGTCTGCTTGACTATCCGAGAAGATGAAAATATCTATGTCATGATGTACTGACGTGTCCAGGTGGGTCATGGCTTCCTGAATTGCCATGACTTCCGTTTGGAAAACACTTCAGTGGTCTGGTAGGCGGAATGAGAGAGAAGACACCCCCACCTGTTTGGGAGTTAGGGTTGGAGCCGTATGTGTATATGTTGACGGCGTTTTCGAATTGGTGTGGGACGTTGTCCCAGTCTGTACGGGTGGGTATAAAGGTCTTGTATCTTCTTTCGAAGTTGTCTATGGGTGGGACGTAGTCTGTACTATGTGGTAAGGATGTATGTTTTGTTAGGATACTGGAGTGACCCGTAGAGCGTGTTATCCATGCCGCTACATCGCGGAGCCTCAGCACTGTTGCAGATTCCCAGCATTTGGCACGTAGGTCCAGGGGTTGGAGGTCGAGAATTGTGTTTAGTGCTTCAGTGGCGGTGGTGCGGAGCGCCCCACTGATGCAGAGCTCTGCACTTCTTTGGATCTTGTGAAGGATCCGGAGGTTACAATTCTTTTCTAGGGAGGCCACCATACGATGGCTTTTTTACAAGCGAAGAGAGCTATGGCCGCTTTGCGTGTGCGATCTAGGATGTTGTCTATCCAGTGGAGTTTTTTGTCAAGTATGACACCTAAGTACTTTGCTTGTTTGCTAAGGGTTGGGCGTGTTTGGTGTAGTTCTGGGAGAATTAGATTTGGTACCTTTTACTTCCTTGTAAAAATAACTAGTTCGGTCTTTTCTGGGTTGACTGCCAGTCCACAGACAGCCGTCCACCTAGGGAGGGTAGATAAGGATGTCTCCATTAGATTGCAGAGGTTGCGGGAATTTGCCCTGCAGTAGGATTACCACGTCATCCACATAGGCTACCACTTTAGTTCCCGCCTCTTCTAGAAGTGATAGCAGTTTGTTGACCACTATAACCCATAGAAGAGGTGAGAGTACTCCCCTTCTGGGGTTCCTCTGCTGACATTCCTGGTCGAGTGGGCTGATCCCATAGTGGAGTTCACTACTCTGCTGGTAAGCATGGTGTGTATGAGTCCTACTACGGGCCGCTCAATGCCCAGTTCAGTCAGAGCACCAGTAATCACCATTGGGGTGACATTGTTAAAGGCGCCTTCTATGCCTAGAAACGCTGCCAGAGAGTATTCCTTATTGCGGAAACCTCTCTCTATACTAGATACTAGAGAGTGGAGGGCGGTACGCGTGCTGTCCGTCAGATAGTAGTCTTCGGTTGATGGTTAGCCTGATATGGATGTCAATTAGCCTTTCCAGGGTCTTCAACAAGAAGGAAGAGAGACTAATCGGGCAGAAGTCCTTTGGGTTGGTGTGGGAGGGCTTGCCGGCTTTCGGTATAAAAATTGCTTTAACGTCCAGCCACCTTGTTGGAATATTGTTTAGAGCAAGGCAGCCGTGGAAGATGGCTGTCAGCCAGGGTAGGGATATATCTAGTCTCCGTTGTAGCTGGGCCGGGGGATTTGAAGGGCTTAAAAAAGTTAATAGCCCACTTAATGCGGTCCGGGTTTGACATGTTTTCTATACTCTGGTCGTCAGGGTACTCCTCTATGTAGAGGTACTCCACTACTTGGGTGTTTTTAGGGAAGTGGGTGTCTAACAGTAGTTCAAGGGTTTCCTGACTGTTTTCCGTCCAGCTGTCAGCATTGGTTTTTAGGTAGGCAATGGTTGCTGGAGATTTTGCTAAAATTCTTCTGAGTCTGGATGCTTCCGCAGTAGATTCTATGCTACTACAGAAATTCGTTTTGATATTCTAATTTTCTTTTTGTATAGGCTTAGTTTTGTATGGTATAATTTCCAGGAAGATTCGATATTGTTGTATTTAGCTCTATTGAAGTAAGTTCTACACTTTCTTCTAAGGTTCGCCAGGGTTGAGTTCCTCCATGGGGGTTTGTGCTTTGCTTTTATGGACTCACCGCAGATGTCGGTAAAAGTATTAACTAGGTAATCTAATTCTTGACCGTTGCGTACGTGCGTCGGTGGAGCGTGTAGGTTCCTGTTCAGGATACTTTTGTAGTATCCCCAATTGGTTAATCTTAGATTAGTAATGTTCTCAGCGGGAGGAAGGTCTAGAGTTATTGTAAATTATATGTATCGGTGGTCTGAGTATGAGTGCTCGATCCCACCTCCCACGCTTCTAGCTATATTAGTGTAATATCTAAAACTTCCCGCCTATTTCTAGTGATGAAAGTTGGGTCATTACCCTTGTTGCAGATGAATAGATTTGATTGAAGGATATAGTCGTAGAGCAACTCACCCCTTTCGTTTGTTTTTGTACTTCTCCATTGTGTATGTATGAGTTGTTGTGTAGTGGTGTTTGGTAATGGGCCGTCATAGTCATGAGCCAGATAGTATGATGCTATGGTGTGATGAGTGTTTTCGTTTATCTCCAGTCTGACCGTGGTGAGGTCGCCTTCGCTAAACTGTGGAATAAGAAATGTGTTAAAGTGTGTCTTTGTAAGAATGCAGGTTCTGGTTATCCTTATCCTTGGTGTAAAATAACTTGTATAGGGGGGTTGATACACACAGATGTTGCTACCAACAATCCATGGCTCTTGAATGAGGACTACGTCTGTGTTGCCTGTTGCTAGGCCGAAGAGGAGGGCAGCGGATGCTGCCTTGCTGTGGTGCAGGTTAATCTGCAGGAGTTGCACCATCTTTTGGACCATGGTCGGGCTGGGTACCCTCCGCTTCCTCCGCTATGTCCTGGAGAACAGTGCGCCCTAGTCGGGTCGTGTCCTGAGTGCACAGCTGCTTCAGTCTTCCTGTCAGCTCCGAGGCGGTTGACACGTATTCAGTAAGGGTGGCCTCTTCGTGCTATTTTTCTGCGTCGCTCGGGGGTTCATACGACGCACAGGCAGCTATGTTGTCTGCCGCTAGTTTGTCTGTGTCGTAGATGCGAAGTTGCACCTTATCGAACCCGTAGTTCACCCGGTTTTGTTGCGCTGCGAGGGGTTCCAAGCAGGCCTGGTTCAAGAGGATTACCACGTTCATAGTGACGCGCTCGGTTTTCTCCGCCTTGACCACATTCCAACCCTCTGTCGGATGCTTCGGGTTGAACCTGGTCAGCAGGCTGAGGATAGCCCCTGGTTCCGAGGGTTCTGACGGCAGCCACACCCTCGCTTGGCCCCGGGGTAGACCTCGCCGACCTTGTTAATGGCAGCCTTGTAAAGTGCTGCCGATCTGTCTTCACAGGCGATCAACTTAACGTTGCCCTGGTACCACCCTGCATCTGTGCAATCGGGTGGCAGACCTGGGTTCTCGTCCAGCACTTTTAAGGCCACTGACGCAAGGGCCTGTCTAACCAGACCCCATTGGTTCCTTGGGATCCTTCCGCCTTCATCGCTCTGGTCGATGACGCCAATGATCTTCCGATCCTTTACTACTTCGACCATGTGCCGCGATTGGATATCTTGGCCTTCTTGCTCGCTGGTTGAGCTGTCTCCATCGACCTCTCTCGCTTGTTGCTGTTGCTGGTGGTCATAGCGATGTCGAAGTCTGAGATTACCGCCCTTGCCCAGGCTATGTCTTCTTGGATTTTTTGGTAATCCAATTTCGACGTTTGATCCTCACGTATTGGGTTGGTGGCGAGCAGTTTGAGGATCCGGAATGCTTTCTTACGTTCAAGAGGTCCTGACTGGTTAGGTGGTGTCCTCTTGAACTTCTTTGCCATGGTACTCACCACGAGACCGACTTTGGCGCTCCCCTCCGGCGGAGTAGCTGGTTAGCCACACCTACGCTGGTGAAAGTCTTGGGCTTGTCTTAATGGTGAGTTGGGCTTAGACGGCTGCGTTGTTCGCTGGCCTTGGCAGGGGTCGACGTCACATGGACCAGGGTTTTCGGAGCCGTGATCTTGCTCTTCTTGTCTTCGTTGGTTACGACTTCCGACTTTTTGAGAGTGTCGGGCTCTTTTTTGGTGCTGTTATAGAGTTTTTCATGTTTAAATCCTACAAGCTGCGGAGAAGGGACAGGTCCACCAGGCGGTCGCCACGGTACGAGTGACACCTTAGTCCAGCCCGGGGAGAGATGAGTGGGTAGGGAAGAGGTAGGTTCAAAACGTGTGGAAAGGGGGTATGTGTGAGCTTTTTGTCGGAGGCGGCAGCACAAGCAGGACGTCGTTACTGCTAAGGCGCAGATACCCGCTGAATGTCTGGGGCTACTTCTTTACGCTTAATGTTGGGGGCTTGGCGGTAGCCGGGCCGCGTCCAACTTCCACGTTTATTCGTAGCTACCCTGGAGAACCAGGGTGCTCGCTATCCGCAACCTGCGACCCGTTCGGTAGCCTTCAGCTCGGCGCCCTCCGAGCCATCCCACTAGCTCTTTGGCCGAACAATGTGCCGTGAATAGTAGGCGACGATTTTAATGAAACGTCTGTAATAATTGAAAAATTCTATAAATCGTCTAGCGCTATCTGACATTATATTTCTTGTCGTCCGGTAAGATTCCTTTGTCTGTGCATTTATGACCAAGGAAGGTCACTTCATGAATAAAAAATGAACATTTT